TTATTAAAAACTCAACAGACACGAAATGGACCAGCTTCTAAAGTCACATTTGCGGCATTTAATTAAATCTCCTGTTTGTCGCTTATCTCTGCACAGTGCAGTGGATTTAACTCATCATGCAGGGCCTGTCCAAGAATGTATAAGGCCTGGAGCAGAATTTGACTTGGGGGGGCCCCTTTTGTTGCTAAAAACATCAGCACCTCTAACAGCTTCGTAGATTTAGTTAAATCTAGGACAGGGGGAGTAGTGTAACTGGCCAACCTAAAAAGCAATAAGTTATAATTGCAGTTGACTAATTTGCATTTGTGAACAAACAGAGCTCAAAATCAAAGATTAAATCCATAGCATCAGATCGTTGCTATAACAAAACAAAATTAATATTGTTCTTTGAACTTTTACAAAGTAAACTTGCAAGATCTTTAAAATCTTACATTTAAATGTTAAACAATTTAAAAAATTTTTACTGTATGTATGCTGAAACCACTGAATCAAATTTAGCAGCATTGATCGTCTCAATAAATAAATGTTATACTTATGTATCTGTGGTCTGTGTTAAAATATTAGCATTTATGGGGCCCTGACGGCCTGGGGGGCCTCATGGAGCCGCTGACTTAATTTGGATTAAACAAAGTGCAAATAATTGATGTTCATTTTAATTGTATTTTTTGATTTGTTGTTTTAAGACTAGCTGTGGGTTTAAATATCGTTTCACTGGTGATGTCTCCCAGTAACATAATTACCCAGTAATATTTTCACTTTTCCTGTCTTCTTAGCATCTTTTAATACAAACACGGTGGACCTCCTCGGCGCCCCGACCACCGGGCTTAGCAAGTTTTCTGGGGAAAACCCTGCTAACATTTATGGAAAAAACTGGTTAGCATCTCGTCTTTCGTACATTTTTAAGGGTCCTCCTGTGTAAGGAGAACTACGGTTTATGACAGTGATATAAATCACAAAGTGTGAATTCCGGCAAAGTCAGCAATTTGAGGGAGGAGGTAGGGTTCGGTTTCTAAACTAGCTATTTACAACTTTTGTAAATACCACAACCTATGAGCCTCACCCAGGTGTGTTACCTTCACAGATAAATGAGCTCAAACAACTGGAAGCCATGAATAAACTGGCAAAAACAACTTTGGAAAACAATTTAAGTCGCTATGTTCAATACTACAGTCTCTAACTTCCAATGTCCATCACAGCACCTAGAATAATTAAGAGACATGGTTGCAAAAGGGCAATAACCCAACCACTGTTACACATAGGATTTGTGTGGAATTTTAAAACCAAAGCTAACTGAAATTTTCAAAATTAAAGCCTCGTTGTTCCTTACCTACTCCCTACATATTAAGCTGAGAAATGCAGAAACTTGCCAGGTTTAAAAAAAGAAACCTTGATGAACATCCAAATTGAAGATGCAGCTAAATGTAAATAAATGTAAAAAGAAAACCTAAAAAAACTACTACCAATTTAAGACTGTTATGAGGTAAAACTGAAACAACTGAAGTCAAGACTTCTTCCAACCTGGCAGAAAAACCAGTTTTAACTATGAAATTAACTAAAAAACCATCACTGCGTTCGCACAGTTAAAGTCAAAATAAGTCTGACTGAGACCCAACAGGATACTTGGTCTGTTTATGAGTACACAAGACCAGTTGTCAAATCGGGTGTGGAGCGGGGGAGGGAACAGGGCACTAAAAGCATTGCCGGGGCTGCCAGGCTGTGCACCGCACCCTTTTACCAAACACAGGACACACCACTCTGTTTACTTCTCACAATTGAGCGCATACAGAAAAAAAAATCTCTGTGCAGCATGGTAGACAGGTCACAGACTGGCGGCTCTGAAACCACTGAATCAGCCAGATAAAATGGGTCCCTCCTCCGCAGTCACTGTTTGCTCTGTCAAAAGGGTCTCAATGGTGTTCCCCTGCCTCACGCCCAGCTCAGGCTAACTGGAAAGCGTTGTTTTATTTCTCCTGGATTCACAAGCGACATCTCAAACAGGTCGACCCGTGTTCTCATCTGATCTTTTCTAGTCGGTTATTTTTCTGAAGTTTTCCTGTGTCTGCAGTTGTTCGTTTTTCATCACCTCTCTTCCCTGACAGTCCATCGGATGGAGATAATAGTGCTTACGGGGGCGGGACTTCACATGGAACAATGTCTTTCATCAGAAACATTAAATAAATAGAGGGCGTCTTGGCAGAAAGAAAAAGAAAATTGAGCGTGGCGAAGATGAATTTAACCCTCTCCCCTTCACAATTTTTCCTCTCTCTCTTTTAGTCCCATCAGCTGACAGCGGCTCCTGTGCGCTCCCAGCATGAAGGCACATTAACCCCTCCTCTACCCCACTGCTCCACCCCACCCTAAACCCAATAGACCAAATAAGAGGTTAACAAGAAGTGGCACGAGGGAGAGAAAAATACACTCTCTGACAAATGAGAGAGAGTGGCAGTGGCAGGCCCCTTTCTTGTCGAGTTTCAAATATAAAGTTAAAGATCTTTGAAAAACAAAAATTTGATGTCTTTAAAATAAAAGGGGGCACAAAGCAACAACAGGGGGTTATTGTCTGGCAGCCACAGGGGAGTCGCTGCATAATGCCCCATTCTGTCTTTTGATGGCTGCTGGAAAAAGTGGGCAAAAAAAAGAAGAAGAAAAAAAAAGCAAGCGAGCTGGCGCGTGGGGAAGAGAAAGAAAAGAGAATCTCTTAAGGCAGCATTCATTTCCTGTGATCAGACATAATATGGTTAAAAAGTAGACTTTCTTTTCTTCCTCTTTTTCTTCTCATGCTGCATTCAACTGATCAATTGCATCCCCCCTCCTCGTTCCCTCCTTTTGCTGCACATCAGATGTGAGTTTGATGACAGGCCTTATCTGAGGCCGAAGAGCGCTGCTGTCATGTTGATTTATGGGAGCATCACACCACAACTTGTCCAAACTGAAGCCCGCAGTTCATTAATTAGGGAGCTAGAACTTTGAAGTTTGTTGGTAGGGGAGGGGAAGACGCTTTTCAACAGCGTGTGCATCGAGTAGCGCGAGAGGCTAGGCTTAATTTTTCCGTCATCCCCCCAACACGCCTGTTTTTACTCTCCAAATACCAAATTCAATGGGGACAGGAGTGTAAAAAAAATTTCCAGTTTGGCTTTGAACTTCTTCTGACCAAGGACTAATAATTTACTTTGTCCAAAGGGACGTTCGTATCCGCCCGTCGTTAACAAATATTAAGCCGTTTGGCTTTGAGCAAGCCCCGTCGCAAGACGGAGGGGTTATTGGCATAGGGGGCGGAGGAGAGAATTCAAGAAAAAAAAGAAGCTGGGAGCGCTCTTTGCGCTGATATCTCACAATTACATGCCTTTTCTCCCTCTGCATTTCCATGTTAATTACCAAGAAAAACTTCTCTGATTTATATGCGCCCTGTTATTTTTCTTTTCCTTTTAGCCTTTCATTGTGTCCTACACACAGTTCACGGGAGTGGTTGTCTTTTTTGTTTCAGAGGACACGTGTACTGGACAAAAGGGTCAGTCTTCTTTTATTGTCTGTCATCAGCTTTAGCATCTTAGTTAATAAAATATTTAACAGGTGTGTGTATTAAGGGGTAGTCATTTTGGTCTAGTTTCTTGTGCAAATATTTTGAAATAAGAAACTGTAGCTTCCAAATAACTTTTCAGCAAAATACAGAAACTTGTTTTATGTCAATAATTCCTTAATATTGATAAAAAAGTGGTAGTTCCACTGGCAGATTATTTCACTTATGACATGGCAAAAATGTCCTGTTATAAGTGCAATAAAATGCCAGTGGAACTACCACTATTTAAAATCAATATAAAGGAATTATTGACTTAAAACAAGTGTCTGTATTTTGCTGAAAATACTGTCTGCAAGACAGTAAATAAGTTACTTTAAATACACTAAAATCTGCACTAATAACTAGACTAAAAATAAAATAGATTTTTGTGTTTTTGTTACTAACCCCTCAAAAGTTTGAATGACATTCTTAAGGAGTGGAACCAGTGACCTCAGAAAAATCTTCCCCAAATTAAGGAGAAAAATGACTAGACTGTGATACAAAATTCAGATTAAACTTAACTCCTTAATTACAGGTACCTCTTCATAGAAAATCTACGGCATATCATTAAGAGGAAGATAAGAGACACCAAAGCAACCTGCACTTCCTTAACATGATTGATGCACTATTCCATGCAACAGGCAGCCTGGCCAAATCCTGAGTGCATATTCTGTGCAGGTGTGTTAACATACATAACTGTTTTAAAGGGTTGCTTTTTTACGACAATAACAAACATGCAGCAATTGTTGCTACCTGATTGTCGAGGAAGAGTGAATGCTGCAAATTGACTCAATGCAATGTGCTGTGTTTCTTAGATAGAAACTTTTGATTAAATATCTAACTGAGCATACTGTCATGTTTGAGATCAATTAGAATGTGTGTGTGCGATTGAATTGAACATATTTTTTCTAAAGTGCTTTGTGAAGAGAGTTGTTGAAATTTGGCGATATGTAAATAAACTGAATTGAACTAAATTTTGGGCTTTTCCAACAAAATTTACAGGAACAAGCCAGTGAAATATATCACTGTAGTTAACAAATCTACATATCTACATAGCTTTCCTTTTTTGAATTGAGTCATTTGAAATTGGTGAACTTGTACAATAAATTTTTGACTCTACCAAAAGACTCCCCCAATCCCCTAAAAAAACTATTGACAACTGTGAAATATTCCATATTTCACACGGAGACAATTTCACAACTAGAGGCACCGTATTCTTAGCACAGTATCAGTTTGTTAGCATTTACCCAGCAATTCTGACATGCTAATTAGAAGCATGAGTGCACTTGATTCCCTCCCTCTCTCCTTCCTCGTCAGTCTGCGCTCTAAACCACAGTCTGAAAGACTGATGGAGTTCAGGAGAACACACACATGCCTTCCATGCTCTCTCCATCTGGCCAGTCGTTTTGGAAATGGCAGGCGGTCAGAGTGATGTCAGCCTTACCTCTTTGCTCTGCTTGCTGCCTGCATGTTGCTGCTGCTGGAGGAGCTGGAGGTGGAGCTGTTCCTGCTGCTTTTTGTAAAACTCTTGAAGTTGCTGCTGCAGAGGAAACGAGAAGAATGAAGGAGTCAATGTTTTGCTCGCTTTGACGGGGGGGGGAATCGAAGTTATTGCGGTTAACTAAACAAAATAACAAAAAGCTGACACTGAGAAAACATTTTAGTTAACTGAAGCAAACAAAAACTTTAATGGGGGAAAACTATAACTACCTGGATCTATGTCATGCGTTTATAAAACTAAAACATATTGAAATTAGAGCTATGACAATCTTTGTTTTTTGACTCTATATCAGCTTTTTAAACTGATGTGAGTTTAATTTATTTTTTTCCCCACACAAGCAGTTTACGCCAGCAAATTACGGCACACCATAATCCTCCTAACGCCGAAAGTTGTGACAAAACACCAGTCAGTAGGTTGTTCAACAATAATTGAATATATTTTTGAAAGTGGTACTTTCTGTTGCATATTCATTACCCAATCGATGTGTACATAATCACAACTCAGTACACTTTGACCTTTTTGAATTCTGCACCTAAAAATTAAACTAAGTATGAAAAAAACTAAAACTACAACTACAATATGTCCTATTATTATTATTAATGAATGCCTAGAGGATTAGAAATACCACCTGAATCTTTTAGGTGTTTAATTCTACTGCATGTTTGTCTTTTTTTTAAGCAGAAAAAAATCTAAACTAAATTAAACAATATTTACTTAACAAAAGCTAGCAAACACTGAAAATAATTAAAACTAACTCAATCAGTCAAACAAAAAATCACAACAAAATAAAGCTAAACTATGATGAAAAACCCAAAACTATGGTATCTGAAAGAAGTAAGTCAGCGACAGCGTGGCACATTTTACCTGCTGCAGCATGAGGGCCTGCTGCTGCTGGAGGAGGACCTGGAGCTGCTGAGGGCTCAGGACTTGCTGCTGAAGAATCTGCTGCATTTGCTGTGGAGTTATCACTTGAGGTGTCATCATAGCCACTGACACTGGAACCTGCACAGACAAGTCACAGTGAGGAAAAAAAATGAGCAAAGGCCAACTTACATTGTCTAAGGACACTAAATATTGATTTACCAAATCCGGCCCACCACAGCTATTTCTGTGGCCCTCCAAACCTCTGAGAACTTCAAGATAACAGTGTGCTTAAATATAATTTAATAAATTAAATCAGTTTTTATTGATATGGCCAAATGGCATCAATGTGAAAAGATGTCAAATAGTATTTAATCTTAAGGGTATAAATCGAATGCAGAGAAAGATACAATATTTTAATTGTCAGTTCAGCCTGTCATGAAAAGCAATTAAACAATTAATTGCACAATTTTCATTTTGATGATTAATATTTTTTGAAGGGCAATTTTGTTTACAGAGAGTTCATAATGGATTTTATTGATGATTTCGGTTGTGTGTGTGTTTTTTTATTTCTGTTTCATTTATTGTTTTTGGTTGTTTGGTGTTTTATTTTGGATATTTAAAATGTTGTCCATTTCTAGTACTAAGTGTTCTGTACAAAATTACGGTTCAGTAGTGATATATTTGGTTTAATAACTTGCGTTATTAAACCAAATATATCACTCAAATCAGCAAATCAACAGAATTGTCCTATTATAATAATAGGATAATGATAATTATATTGTTCAGCAAAATTTAAGATTGTGATAGGTAGTTTTATCAAAACGTTCTGCGACAACCGCTTCTTTGAAATTGAGTTTGCCATCTCTGGTCTAGAGGGATCCTTTGACTAAATCATGAGTCACATCCATTCCCTATCTTCACAAGTCAATCATTAAAAACAGAAATGTACTATGCATAGTCAAAAATACAGTCAACAACTAACAGAACTTCAGAAAAAACAGGTTAAAAGACAAAAAACAAGCAGGGATATGCAGTTTCAATGATTACATGATCTGAAATCCCATCTTCAGACTTTTCTTCCTCACTTCCACTCATTCGATAAGATCCGTTTTTGCTGCAATACCCTCTGAGCTGCCCAACATATTAAATAGTAAAGGGACTGAAGTCCCTTTACTATTTAAATGTTCTTTTTGTCACAGTCACTCCATTGAAACTCCCAAATGCACACAGATTCATACACTCGTATACAAATCTGTGAGAGAACCCCTTTGTGGGGGGAACCCAACACTTTCCTAATGCAAAACAACGTCTCTTCCCATTGACTAAACACGGTGGCAGCAGCATCATGTTATGGGAATGCACTTGAGGTTGAGTTATGAACAGATGTGGACTCTATTAATAAGCCAGGCAACTCATGAATGCAGCTGGGTGCACTGCTGAATACCACTGAATTAAAATACAGATCAAAATAACAGTATAGATTAGATTATTATGTCTGTATTAAACAACATGTTTTATTCTATTACTTTTTAAATTAAAAGTGATCTCGCCACAATATCTCAAAACTGTGTGTGTTTTTAGCATTTTGTGAGTGCCCACTGAGACTGCATCCAAAACTCCCGTGGTTCACTCGCTGCACCCACTCGCCGTGTCAAGTCCGACTATCTCATTAGAGACGCTGTCAGCGGCGATGTGCTGTTTTAAAGACGCAGATAGCCCAAAGGAGGAGCAAGAAAGGGAGGAGGAGGAGGAACCGCGGCGACAAAAAACTCTAGAAGGCCTCTAATTCTTACAGGAAAGGTGTAAGTGCATGACTCCTCCAAACAAGTGATTTGTTGTGACATTGAGAGAGCGTCCACAGTTGTCAGAGAGCCTTAATTGCTCCGATGACACGAGGCAGTCGGAGTGTGTCGGGGAACGCCGCCACTCGCCTCTGTGATGTGAAACGCCATTAAAATCCCCTTACCTTAACATTGAGATGACAAACAGTGAGGCACTGCGCTGGATGTTGTGTCTATTGTGCTTTTTTTTGCGCAAAGACAGCGACAAGGAATACACAAGCACATCTCTGCTCCTGTCAACAGTCCATGCTGATGCTGAGGCCCCATCGTCACAGAGGAAGCCACATTTCAGAGCCGTCTCAGAGCTAATGACAGCCCTTTGAATTTTTCATGTGTTTCTGAATGTAATTTAGCTGTTTAAGATTTTTTTTTTTTTTGGACATCCGTATAAGCTTAATTATTATTTTTAGCATAGCATTTAACAAAAACAAAGCCGTGCCATAGTCAGCAGAAGAAAGGGGCTGTGGTATGAAATAAAGAAGAAGCAGCTTTGATGCTCTCCGCTAAGTCCGTTGAGCGGTGCCAGACTATGGCGGACGACGGGGCCAGGGCCCCACCCAGGACCATTTCTCATTTCCAGCATCAAGGCGCAGGGAACAAAATGCCCCCCGTGTTACGTCTTAATATGCAGTTCATCTTGTCTTGTTATTTGCGTAGCCCCATCCTCCCCATTTCCTAATTTCACAGTCATTATCCACTGAAGTCCTTTTTTTCCCGAGCATCACTAATTTTGATGAACATTTTGAAGGTCAACGGAGCAGCCCCTGTCTTGCTGAGATGCGAGTTCAATATGTCCTATTATTATTATTAATGGATGCATAGAGGATTAGAAATACCACCTGAATTTTTTAGGTGTTTAATTCTACTGCATGTTTGTCTTTTTTTTAAGCAGGAAAAAATTTCACATATTTGATGTGTATTTGCTTTATGATTTTGATGATGGCATTTAACAAAATGTAATGTTTACTGCTCGTTTCATAATTGATAACTGCATAATGTTATGACTTAAAGCAATTTGAACTGCCTGAAATGTGCTATAAAAATAAAAATTACCAAAAAAATATACATATGTAACCAACTGCAGCTGGTGGCTCATTTAAACAGCCTGGCATGCCAATTTTTTACCAAAACAAATGTATTTATTTTTTTAATAACTGATAATAGTTCATTGAAAAACATTAAAAATTACCTGGGAAGGTCTGGGTTTGTGGCTAATAAACCATCATACAAAACCATGCCTGATTTGGTTTATCATATCCTTAATGAAATGCACTGGAATTGAATTGAAATATGTCAAAAGTTAGCCAAACTACTAAAGTAACTTAAAAAGAATCTGTTCCTTTAGTCTTTAATTTTTCAAATTTGGTAAACAAACCAAACTTCCACAACAGGGTCTGTCAATCAGTCCTTTCTCACAGCAGATGGAAAAGGAATAGTGGCAGGATTTTCAGAACTTTGCAGATATAAATAAGATTGGTAACATGTAAGTATCGTCTGATTGTGCAAAATCAGGAAAATTGGTGCACTCCCACATTTGTTTTCTTGTAACTCCACAACAATGCATAGCTCAATAAAAGAAAATGGTAATTAAACTCAAAGGTAACAGCGGCTTTACAATCCTAGGCGATGTCTTTCTACTGCAGTCCGTCCTTCAGCGTAACAGTGTGAATTCATGGTTTCACACTTTATTTTTGTCAGGCTCACAGTAACTACAGCCAGAGCAGCTTCCTCTCTATGCAGAGGCTATTACAGACCCCCATTTTATTACCCATTACTACTAAGGTCATTAGCACCAAGAGGGATTGTGTGCTTCTTAACCTATTGATCAATGTAACTACTATCATTTAATCCTGTGCTAAAGGAGTGAAAATCTCTCTGAA